CATCTTGTGCTTCTTGATCTCATTAACTGTCTCCTCTCCTCCTTCTTTTCCTCCTATTCATTCTTCTCTTTCTTATGCTCCTTCTTATACTTTTAATTTTTTCATTCTTCTCATTGACTGCTCTTTTTTTCTTATTTCATTACTTATTGTCTATATTGCCCATTTTTTTCTTCTACACCTTTTTATCTCATCATTAATATTCTAGTTTTCCTTCGTCTATTATTACTTACATTTTTATATTTATAATTTATCTTCTCCTCTATGTTCTCCTATTTCTCTATTTTCTCTTCCATGTCCTTATTTTCTTTCGTCTATTACTCTTCATAATTTCCCTACTTATAATTTATCTTTTCACGTTCTTCCTCTGTCTTGTATTTGTTTTCTCCTCCGTATTCTTATTTTTCATCTATTCCATTTTGTGTTTCATTTTCCATTTATTGTGTACCTTCTATTGCACGTTCTTTTCCTTCTTCGTCTTCTCCTATATGTCCTCATTTTTGTTTTATCTTCTTTGTTCTTTGTGTCGCACTTTCCTTATTCAACCTGTAGTGCATTCTTGTGACGGAAATAAGAACTTGCAGTTCCTGGAATACATAGACCTCTACGTTAGTACAATGCGTCACCCAAACCCATGGGTTCCAAAATGGCATCCTCGTTAATTTCAAATATTCTCGTCAGTACCTTGTCTTTAAGTAGCGTCAATGAACGGAGGAACTAGATTTAGGCTACTGAACAATAATGAGTACGATGAATAGGCGCGTGCGGACAAAGGAGATGGCGTAGTTCTCCAATTTGGGTTTTGGACGAGAATAACTGATCGCCGTAAAAAATGTAACAAACTGTGTGCCCAGCGTCTGGAAAGGTCTACAATAGTCGTATCTTTAACCAGCTGTCTGAAGATGCAAAAATAGCTATTCAGCTTTCTTAATTACCAAAAGCTTAATTGCTTTGTAATCAAGTGCAGAGTCAAACAGAAAGCTCCAAACTTAAAAGACTGAGGATGTGCTGCCTGCTTAAAGCTCTCGCATATGTCAGGGACCGGTGATAAATGAGCACGGAGCAACCCTGCAATGATAATTAGCAGGGGAGGAACACAGAAACTAATACAGCTAAATATATCATCTAATTTGGCGAATGAGTGAGACAATCTCACATTTCTTCGCCCGCATTGCCCAGATGTGAAGGCTAATGTTCAGAAGTCTACCTGAAACCTGTTCCTAGGCTGTTCCATTCAAACATACATTTCAGAGTGCCTATAACACGTTGTTGCTCTCCACCCCTCAGGATACTGCAAGGAAACTGAACGTAGAGGTGCAATGACTGCCACCCCTGATTTACATTCTGGAGTTCCTGGGCTTGAATCCCGGTTCGAAAGACATCCTCACAAATAACTTATGCGATTTTCCTCAGTACTTCCAGAAAAAATAGGCATACCTGTAGATGCTGCTTCCTTCAATCACTGAGCCTCTTTTAAAATTACTGAACAGTTCTCGAGTTCGAGGCCAGCCGGAAGTATTGGGGATCCTTCAGCATACTTTCCGCTTTCCCTTATCTGATAAAATCAAAGCCGGAAGGTTACAGGTCATCATATTAACCCCACTTACTCATTCATCAGTAATCTGTCAGAGGACAGGTCCACAGTCTCTTCCAAAACAGTTCCTCCACTTAATGCGATCTTCTGTTTTTGGAAAGAGACTATCCAGGAAAAGTGATAATGTGGTAGTTTTTCCATTTGCTTTCCACATCGCAGTACAACAGCCGTTCAAACCACTCTGGTCACGCCTGTTGCTATACGAACTTGAACCATCTCGAGCATCATTTGCTCTGTGCTTCAAGTCGCTGCTGATGACGCTGCTTCCGGCATCAGTTTTTGGTGTCTCTCTTCGTCTGATGCCTACCCTTTGACCTGTCCAGCAAGGGAGGCCCTGCCAGTAGCTACGCTACCGCTGGTATAGCTCTCAGGGTCCTTGGCATACTCAAACCCCCTCACCACGATAAGGTGAGGGGTAACGAGGGGGTAACCCCACTATCCGTATCAAAATGAAGTCCCCCTGTCGCTGCTCCCATTTAAAATTCGTATTTCTACCAACCACTTGGACACGTGCACAGAGTTCATGGCGATCAAAGATCGTACGTTCAGGCATAATCCAGAGACAAATAAATTTAATGTAAACCATGACTTTTCAGGTGATATGCTTTGATTAGGATCCTCTCTCCAACTACGGCAGTGCTTTTAGGATGCACGTGTGGGCGCGAGACGGAAACTAATAATATTAATGTGTTTCAGGTCTTGTCTATGCACTTTATACCAAAATGTAAGGCCCTTTCTTTTCGTAATATGCTAGCTCCCCCCACCCTCTTCCAGAAACTTGCACAGCGAAGCACTTCATAATCTGTACTCTCGACATATATTATTAGGAAGATGAAATAAAGGAGGATGAGATGGACAGCCCAAGCAGCATGCGTAAAATGAAAGATGTGGTCCGCAAACTTTAAGGTAAGAATTTATTTGCGAGAGCTAGGCAAATACTAAAGTGTATCTTAATACATTTTCAGCCGAACATTTTAAGGCTTCAGTGTGCAGCAACATTCCATGGAATAGATTAAGCAATCTTGTTGTGCGATCATTTCTGGAGAAATATTGTGCAATTAAAAAATCCCAGATGAATCAACTCTTAGAAAAAATTATCTGCCTTTGCTGTATGAATCTACTCTGGAGTCAATCAGTTCTGACATCGGAGGAAACTTTGTCTGGATATTGGTGGATGAAACAACCGATTTATGTGGCCGATACGTAGCAAATTTCATAGTTGGTAGGCTACATCCAGACGAACCCAGCAAACCCCATCTTTTTGCTTGCAAAGTACTAGAGAAAACCAACAATAACACAATAGCAAGGTTTGTAAATGATTCTCTTCGACTACTAAGGCCATCTGAAATTGAGAATAATTGTTGTAAGGTGCTTGTATTACTCCCAGATGGAGCTTCCTATATGTTGAAAGCAGCAAAGGCCTTACAAGTATTTTATCCAAATCTTATACACGTAACATGTTTAGCGCACAGATTACACCGTATTGCAGAAAAAATACGCCCACATTATCCAGCTGTTAACGATTTATTGCAAGTGGAAGAAAGTGTTTTTGAAAGCACTAGCTCATGTCCATTTCTACAAAAATTACCTACCTCAGGTTCCTCTGCCACCTGAACCTGTTCTAACTAGGTGGGGGACAAGATTATCCGCAGTTTTATTTTATCAGGATAATTTCAATCAAGTAAAAGAAATGGTTACAAAACTTGAAGATGAGTATGCATGTGTCCGTGAAGCAAAAGTGGTGTTTGGAAGTGATACTGTTTATCAAGATGTGAATTTTATCCATTTACACTTTTCTACAGTTTCAAAAGTCAAGGAGAGCTTAGCATTTCGTTATGCACGCCTTCACGACTCACTTGAACTCTTTCAGGAAGCAACTCCTTCACTGAATTCCGCTCCAGGCGAAATTGGAGAGAAGAGTAAATGAAAGTTATAAAAGGTGTTAAATTCGAAACAAGGACTAAAAAAGTTTCAGTCAATTGCTCAGTACTTCAGTGGAATTAGGGTATCTTTGTCAGATGAATGATCCGAACCTTCGGCGCCAGTGTATAAATACTGTCCTATCACGTCAGTTGACATAGAAAATCATTCTCAGCCTATACACTCATTTTAACGGACAATAGACGCAGTTGGTCTCCAGAAAACATTGAGAGACTTCTAGTTGCCTTTGTGATGCTACTTTCTGCAGTGAATGATACATGTAAGTAGGTGAATCTGATTAAAGTTACCTGTTCCTTAAGTGCAAATTGCTTTATATTTGCTGCATATTTTCCCGCTTTTAGCGCATAAACATCCGGGCCCTACTAATAACCTACTAACACCTGTAATATTCAGAGGATACATACCAAAACTACACCCTGTTTTCTGTCACACCAAATATGCACACATAAAATCTAATTCATTCTGTANGATGGTCGCTGCATTTTGTAGCTTTTGTCTTTTTCTTTACGGCAATCATTGTAACTTCTGTAAAGTCCTTGGGCCACTCTCCACTTTCATATATGGTGTTCATTAGTTTTGTCAGTGTTTTCAAACCACCTTCTCCCAGTAACTTGAGCACATCTCCAGGTACATCATCATCTCCATATAACCACCAAAAAACACATTTTGTTCAAATTACTGTACATACGTCACGCGAGATTATAAATAATAGTGCCAGAATAACCTCAAAGACACATTGTTTTTCACTACACACCCACTATCCTTATATGCACTTACTTCCATTAAATCAATAAATGTACGTAATGGTGTATTCTTCCTTAACATATACTTTAGTTTCATGGTTCAGAGGGAAAACACTTCGATTTTGTTGTGGAAGAGAGGAAACACAAGTTTGCGAAACTTCGTGCATTCGCCATTACTCGGTCCAGGATAACACGAGTACACACATGAGTATAACACACGCAGTCACAGGAGCGAGACGCAACACAGAGCACAATACACGATAGTGAAAGAGTGCTCCAACAGAGGATGATAGACGTGACTCGCGTAATGAAACACGACGTAGGAAAGAAATATGCTGTACAGTTTTAGTATTTTAACACTTGACATTTGTCAGTATATATGATAAATATATATTTTAGTTATTTTAGTATGTAAAGACAAGGCATGCAATGAATTAGTTTGTCGTGGATTGGATCAGCACCTGAAGATGGCACATTGGTGCCGAAACATGTAGTGAGAGTGAAAAGAGGGGATAAATAAATGTATGCACTAGAAGACGGATAAAATAAATCATGGACGAGTACACACATTAAGGGCTAAAATTTGCACTATCTCACTGAATCTTTTAAGATATACTTTCAGGCAGATAATTAATCAGAACTTGTACATATATGTATATGAACATACACACATTACACCGTCTTATTATTTATAAACACCTATTCATACCAGGAAAGAAACGTACCTTGATTTTGTAGCCCGGATATTTAGTTCACAGTGACAGTGCAGCCAACTTCTTAACATGACTGAAACAGAAACATTCCATTATCAGTTCGATTACAAGACAGTATTTTTTCACGTAATTTGTAACCATTTCCGTGTATATTATTTTACTACTTTCTATCCACGAAGGGAAATTCGGACGAAACAAATGCAATACTGTCACTGAATTCGTCGCGTATCCATCCACGAGATAGGGAGGAACGATTTCACTGATAATAAAGATTTTTCTTCATAAGGTTATGCCATTGGAGGTCAGCATAATGCCATAATATGTGATATTCAGTAATCATTAGTATCACCATGGGGAATGCGCAAACTCGTGAGGTGGGAGCGGTTGTTGGACACAATCACACCATCACATAGCAATATAACGTCGGAATATAAGAGCATAGATTGATATTATGTGTGGAATAACAGTAAACACGCTCAATTTTATACATAAAGACATATTTCAATTTATATTCCATGTTACGACAGTCCTATATTACGTTCCGTTAAGTAGCTGCTTCGTAAATGACGTCACGCTTAAGAGAGTGCAATGAACTACTTCGCGTCCTCCTGTAATCCTGGGGTGCTATTCGCTGATGTTAGGTTAAGTTAGGTTTGCGCAGTAGAGTACTGCGCATCCATTTGTATCTCAGGGGTAACATTAGCTGATGTTAGGTTAGGTTAGGTTAGGTTGGGGTTGTTTGGGTTAGGTTAGGGTAGGTTTGCGCAATAGACTACTGTGCATCCATCTCTACCTCCGGTGGGCGAACCTCGGTAATTTACGCTAATCTTAGGTTCTGAGTGTGCATTATGACAGGTGTGCGCAAATGACTATTGCGCATCGTTATGCTCAGTTGAGCACTGTTTCGCCGTCGGCAATATCTTACGATTGAACGACCCTGATAGCGAATGAAATCAATATATATTTGTACGGGACATTCTATTTACGAATTTTCTCACATCATAAACACTTGCATATATTTTTCTTTTAAACTCTTTACGTAATCTATGAAACCTGGACTGTATTACGATATATAATGGTCGTAAATGCATTTTTTTTTCCAAAATATTAACAATTCAGAACGACATGAAGCTCATGATATCACAATTATAGTCATTGACTCTTACAAGTTCCTAGAGTTCCAGAAATATTCTCTTTTCGAATGTTCCCATTATTAACTTTATACTGTTTTCCCGACATACGTGAAGGTTATACACATATTTTATATGAACGTATCCACCCCACAATAATAGTGATCAAATATTAGGTAGGAAAATCACTGTTTATGATGTGAACCTAAGAAAATATCATTCAACATTCTTCTAAGAATTAAAAAAAAGAACGAACACTTCACTATATATGTTATAGACTAAACTATAAAATTCAATTACAAGAATGTCATCTGTAAGAACTCGTGCTTCCCTGTAAATAATCTGATCCTGTAAGCAGGTTAATATATGGAAAGAAAATAATTCCCTGATGCTGTATACTACCTGTTAACACATGTAAGCCTGGAAGATTAGATTGCAAGAATGCAGTCCTTTGTCTATCACACCGAAATACACATCTAACTTACAAATCTCTTGCCATCATTCTTCTTAATATATGGAAAGAAAATAATTCCCTGATGCTGTATACTACCTGCTAACACATGTAAGCATGGAAGATTAGATTGCAAGAATGCAGTCCGTTGTCTATCACACCGAAATACACATCTAACTTACAAATCTCTTGCCATCATTCTTCATGGTATAACACATGCTCGACACAACACTTTGCACATTATACACTGTCATTGAACAGTATTGCCAGTATAACACCTATGAAAACATGCATTTCACTCAATATACCACCTTGTTATAAGCAAGAATTTTTCATGAAACAAGAAATGTATATAAAGGGGGAAACTTCTGAATCCATTGTGGGTGAATGGAGATCTTATCATTCTTGAAAACACTACAAAACCTCACTACACACCAATGTATATTTTACATACAAAAATATAACGTCACACTAGAGAATTTAAACTTCACTTTACACTCGACATTATTGTTACCAAATCATCACACATTATACCCACCATTCTGTCACTCAGATCTAAATTATAAATTAAAAAAAAAAAACTGCTTCAGTGGGAATAAATAATTCACTTTGCGCCCTCTTCTCACAAGTACTTATACTAATGCAAAAAAAAAAATATCATTCTGACTAATAACCTACTAACACTTGTAATATTCAGAGGATACATACCAAAACTACACCCTGTTTTCTGTCATACCAAATATGCACACATAAAATCTAATTCACTCTGTATCCATATAACCACTAAAACACTTTTTGTGCAAATCACTGTACATACGTCACACGAGGTTATAAGTAGTAGTGCCAGAAAAAACTCAAAGACACATTGTCCTTCACTACACACCCACTATTCTTGTATGAACTTACTTTCGTTAAATTAAATAAATGTACGTTATGGGGATATTCTTCTTTCACACATACTTCAGTTTCGTGGATCAGAGGGAAAACAGTTCGATCTTGTTGTGGAAGAGAAGTAACACATGTTTGTAAAATTTCTTGCACTCGCCATAACTTAGTCGAGGATAATACACACATTAAATCCTACCATTTGCACTATTCCACGGAATCTTTTAAGATATACTTTCAGACAGATAAATAATCAAACTTGTACATATATGTATGGATACATACACACATATCACCGTCTTATTATTTATAAACACCTCTTCATACCAGGAAAGAAACGTACCTTAAATTTGTACACCGGATATTTAGGTCACAGTGACAGGGTAGCCAACCTCTTAATAGGACGTGAAAGTTCGAATTGGTGTGATTTTGCTCAGAACTTTGAACAATTTAGTGAACCCTAGAGTTCTCTAAAATGTTGATAATTTCCTGACCACCTGAGAGGCCATGTCATGAAGGATTCTGATCCAGAACTATTGTTCCTTAGGTTGTGGGTGTGCGATCCCTAGCCACGTTCAAAATCAAAGCTGGAGGACCATCCCTGTCTATTTACTTGTAAAATGCAGATGTTGAAATTCACGTAGTGTGGAGGACCACAACTTCACCGGGTAGTATTAAGACGATTTAGTTTAGGGGAATGAGACACGGGTAGCAGGTGGCGGGGATTATAAGTGCATATAAATTTGAGGTCAGGAAATATCAAACGAAGGGACCATTTGCGAGATCTGAGTGAAAGTGAGAGAATAACATTATTATCGGTAAACGGCATTTGAGATAGTGGTTAAGTAAAAGTAAGAAAGATAAGTTAGCTATCCCTGTAACAGGCCGTGAAGGCTCATAGGGTTGTGAGACATTGAGGGTCCCACATTATCTAGTTAATCAGCTCAAAGATGGCGGAATATTTGTCAGCCTTACGCGCCGGCCGCGCTTTACTCCCCTGGAAAATTATTATTTCATTCCTGGTAATCATTTCTGTCAGAGGCTGAATCGACCACTGGGCCATAGTGCGGCCGGAAGTATTAGGTCAATTGAAAACAATTCAATGACCTCATGGGGACTTGAACCGGCGACCTTCCGGCTTAAGATTCAAATTTAATTCTATAACATTATGTCAATAATAACTCTTCTGTATGGATATGGGTGATAGAGACTGACAGAATGACAGGAAGGCACATTGGAAGCTGCGGAAATGCGCTTCCCCAGCGCTGTCAGGACCTTGATTGATTGATCAGAGACGTAATGAAAATATAAAAGACGAACTGCAATTCCACGACACGATAAAGAGCTGTGGATTATCAAATAAAGGGGCTGTAATACCTAGAGAGATTGGAGCAAAACAGATTTCCTAAATGACTCTGAGACTACTAAACCCAGATGCCGGATACACCAAGGATGCGCACGCAAAATGTGGAAGGAACAGTTCGAATATAATAGTTACATTTTAAACAATGAAGCTGGGACGGCCCCGCTGAAGAGCCTAAAACTATGCTGTTTCTGATGGTAATGATGATGATAATGTCCACTGGGGGGTTTCAGCAAACATGGCCATGAAATTCTGGTTCCATAACAACGGAATTTCTTTTCAATCTGAGCAGCTATGACATTCTCATGAAATATTCTACACTATGGAGTTAGTTAATTAGCTGCTTACTTAGTTAGCTAGTTTGTTAGTCAGATAGAGCCACAAAAGTTCTAGGGTTAATTAGAAGTTTGTAGCTTTTAAACACATACGAGTATGTTAGATTTTGTTCAGTTATTCAGAATGTTAAATTCATTTTCCAGTAAGAGATATCGAGAAACACCAAGTTACCTATTATTTAGTTGTCCACTGAATTACTTCTAGTCCTTCCGTTTAAACACTGAAATTGTAATGAATATAGATACTGTTAGTTCCTCGGAACTCTAGCCGTTGGTAGTGGGGTCATACCATCTCTCTCGGGGCAGGGGGAGCAGTCTTATCAGCTAACGTCAGCGTGGGTACTACCAGTTTGGAATGTAGCGTCTTGGAGTGTGGTCAGGTGTATAATACGTTGTGTCGCTTGTTAGTTGATACCAGTCTTAGCGATTATATTACGTGGTGTTCGTGTCACTATCACGGCACACAGACAATGGCACGGAACAACTCATAGTGAGGCCAGGGAAGTAATAGCTTACGTTTTCCGCTCGGGGAGTAGCTCTGAACGTCACCACAGCATGCGTACAGCTTCGCGTGCTCCACAACAGCGTTTACCTTTCCGCGCGGCTAAAGTTACGAGGCACTAACTATACACATACTGTATCCAGACAGTCAATGTCATTTGAATGAATATACTACAATGTAAGAGATACCCAGCCGAGATTGAGAGCGCTCGTATTGTCTGCAGCCTAGCCATCATTTTGTTTTATATGCGCAGGTTACAGGAGATCGAAATGGCTGAGACCGGGATGGGTGTGAGCTGTATAAAAAAAAAAGTAAATTTCGAACTCTATATCTGATTTGTTTTGACCATCCGGCAGTTTCGTAAGCGACGGTAAAAGAAGGACTATGTAGACACTGATTTCATTTAA